GACCGCGTGGAATTTTTGTACTAAAATTTTCTTGATTATGTTTTATTTACTTTGTCGAGCTTCTTGTAGCTAAGTAAATAAAAAATCATTATTCTGACGATGCAGACCTGAAAAGGCTGCGAAACGTCAATAAATAAATAAAGTTCGTGAGTCAATCCGTTAAAACTAGTTTTATTTATTCAAATTTACCTTAGGTATATAAATTAATTAAACTTATGTTTTTCCAAGAATTTACCTGGCATATTATAATAGGTAACGAAATTTTTATTAAAATGCAACGAACTCTTAAAGTGTTGTGCTACCAACACCTTGATGGCCAGCTCTTTCGCTCGGCTAGCGAAGGGTGCTGGGTCGATTCCAGTCTGAGACGAACTGTTTTAGTAAAAATCGTCTTTACACCGTAATACATAACTTATTGCATCAGCTTGTAACAAAAGGCAAAATACTTTATTGTTCAAAATGTTTATTTTAACTTTAAAGTGTTTTACTTTTTACTACATTTTTGCTTATAATTGATATGGTGCCATATTCATATAACCATAGTGGAAGTTTTTAAGTACGGTCGTTGGTTTTTTAGCAACTGGACATTTTAGTGCATTTTTTAATAGACGGGATTCCAATTGTAACTTACTTAATACCAGATTTGAGCTGGTAAGTGAATAGGAATGATGACTAAAAAAGTGTTAGACTCGTATTTTTTCTTTTTTTCACATAATATAAACATTGCGGAGATATATTGATTTAAAAAGTCGCATGACGTCACTTTAGGTAAAATTTTCACTTAAAAGTGACGTCACGAGCCCCTCCTCTCTCCCACTTTGACGCGCTATAACTTTGTCATTTTTTGGTTGATTGTCCAAAGAAGAAATACGTGTCCATTATTTTTTGATCATCTAACTGACGGACTAAATAGAATATCGTTTACTGTACCCCGTCATCACCCCTATTGTCATTAAAAATAATATTTTCCTTTGATAACCTATAGTATAAAGTTATTTTTATGATTGTTGTTGATCATTGAAAAAATTCACGATTAATCACATTATACCAGTTATAACCAATTCATGATTATTACTTCATTCACATTGTCCTCATATTTCAGTTTATGTTATAATCAATACTAATATAAGATAGTATTGATTATAACCGTGTTTGTGACAGCAGTTTGCATATAGAAAAACTGAAACTGCCAATTTCATACAAAAATCAATCTTTAACTGCAGATTACGTTTGACAGATGAGTAGACCTTTCGCCACAGTGCTGCCATCTAGCGTCCGTCATTCCAAAAAAAACTATTAACTAAAATTGATGATGTCGTAAGCTATTTATTTTATACCCCAGGTGGTAAGGGTGTATTTTCTGACATCACGCGAATAAAGTCGCGGGCACAGCTTTAGTATTATATGAGGAGATGGCGAATAAAACGGTATAATTACACATCTGGTCAAACTACTATTTTTTCAGTCCGGAGGTTTCGGGCTGTTGAATTTGAATCTCAAATAATTTTCAATCAAAACCGCCTAAAACAATGTTAAAATTACTAAATTTATAAATTAAAAACCATACCAAAAGCTCACTGGAGGTATGTCATTCAGTTTCATACAGCTCCTGTAAAATTTAATTTTGTGTAATTATATTTTGTTCGCCAGCTCCTCATACATGTTGTAGGATGATTTCATGAATCGAATTTTCCTAGGGATTTTGGTGGCGTTGATATTGCTCAATCTTACCGTATGAGAGTATTCTCTCTCTTAAGAAAAAATAGTCACAAAAAAAATACAAGAAAAAATACTATTTTTTATTAGTAAGACTTCGAAATGTCATCGCCCTAAGATTTTCGCGAAAATTCGATTTATCAAAATTTACGACACATATACACCGTGAATTTTGAGTTACCCGAGAAATTTTACTAGTCAATTCAGACAACAGACTTTAGGTTATATTTCCGTAATAATATATTTTTTCTTTATAAATTTCTCCACGCTAACTCCCTTAATTGTCCAATTATAATACCTTAACAATTTTAATTATCATAAATGATTCAAAAACATGTGCTTTGATAATGATTCCATAATATGAGTCTCATTTACCAATAAGCGCCGTTATAAAATATTTTGTAAACGATGTAAATATACATTGTTGTATGGGGAGGTTGTATATTTACTGTTCACAGCTGTTCGCACTATTTTTATTTACACGATTTTTAAGTTTGTCACGTAACTTACGGTGTATTTTTCTGTAAAAACGGTTGCACTGTATACTACATTTTTACTAGTAAAAATCTATCAGGCTCGAACCTGATCGTCTTTCACAATTCGTGCGTATGGACTAACCGTACCCTTAGCACGAACCAATATCGAATTCGTAACGTTTGCGAGTCCGAAATGTCATTGTCAAATGTGTACTGATTTTTAGTTCTCGTTACGTACTTTCTGCCGCTGCTGTTCAAGTTTCCATACAAAATTTGATATTGACATTTCGGTTTGCAGACCATTCGAATTCGATATTAGTTCGTGCTAGGAGTAATGTGCTTAGGAGAACGAATTTCTTCAATTTAGGTAAACTTCAATGTGAACTGGAATACTTTTATTTACGAAAATAGAAAAAAAATAAACAAAAATAGGATTTATTTTAACAATTATTATGTTTATTTATTTTAGAGAAAGAATTATTTTAATCACATTGCGACTATAGTCTGTCCATTCTATTTTTATCTTTTTGACAGATTGACGCCCATGAAATTTTGTATTGTTTACGTTAAAATTTCATACAAATAATATTGTACTTCATGGACGGGTACCGCCCACTTAGTGGTGTGCCACACATAATGATTACTAAGAGACTGCCACAGATTACAAGTAATCGGCAGAAATGAATGAGTACAACCAAATTGTAAGATAGAGACCAAGTAATTAAAATATTAACATTAAATAAAGTTTATTATATAAATGTCTTCTTAGTTTATTTTTAATTCATTCAGACGTATCAGATTCTTCATACAAACTTGGTAAAATAATAAATCTAATGAGATTTTGTAATAATTTATTAAACACCAGTATTTTTGATAACTAAAATAATTTCGATACTCATAATCGATTAAACAATGTTCTAGCATAAAATCGATTATAGCTTTAAATCGAACGAGTCAGTGATAGGACGTCACTATTTTTACTTCGATCGATCTGTCAAAAAGATAATAATAGAATGAACAGACTATAAGCAGCATTATTCGAGATTCAAATAAAAACTTTTTACATAATAACAGCAAACAAAAAATAATTTTGAATACTTGAAAAAAAAAACTGCTTTTTTTAGAAAACTCCAACTCCTATAAAAATATCAATGGCAACATTTCAGGTAATTAAAATGCAACATCACCATTGGTCGGTATTATGTTTCTTTCGATAAGGAGTCCCCGTAGCATGAGCACCACAATTTACATTGTGGTCAAAAATCACGTTTTTTATCGCGTCTAAATGTCAAACTCTATAGCAATTTGACAAGAGTGCGTGATAAAAACTCGTTATATATATCATATCGCGGTGCTTATGCTAGGGTTCTTGCGATAGATTTAGGCAGTTGTCCTAACACTGGCGAGGAAGCGACTATCGGCTATTTTCCCGCTCAAGAAACGACGTACAATAGATAATATATTTCCGTGTAAACAACTAGATGCATGGTGGAGTGATTTCTTCTGGCAGTGTGAAAAGTCAGCAATCAACTACTAATATATGCATCTCTATCGTTTATAATGAATGCATAATTCATTAAACGTTTCTGTAGGAGCGGGCGGTAGGAGAGCTGCCTTAGACTCGGCATCACGCGTTGATAGTCTCCCTACAGTATCGCAAGCGTCTATACCCTGGGTTCCGAACCTGGGGTAATTACCCCTCCGGGGGTAAATCAGCTATACTTCGGGGGTAACAAAGAACCTAATTATTTGGTCATATCTAAATAATAAGAAAATACTATATATATAATAATACTAATAAATAGAGCATGCGCTCCTTCTTGCTAGCGAGCCCGCGGGGTGTGAGTGTGGGAAGCGGCCTAATTGGAATTTCCTGGACTGATGATAAAACTTCAAAGTCAGGGTGAAATCTGTTTTCCTAATAGGTTACAGGGGTAGCAGTATTGGAAATGTTAGGAAACACTGGTCTATACGCTGTAGTGACCGCTGACTACAAGAAGAGAAATCAATTAACTATAAAGTTTAATATAAGCTTATGCCTTTGATTAATTAAATACACTCTAGATACCGTATTAAAAGCACGGAAGCGGCACAATAAATATCTACTACATATGGTAGATATGCTCGTCGCTACACACGCACACATTGACTGCTTTAGTACCTACAATCCAACATTAAAGTCACGCACACATTGCGCGAAACATAAGCCATTTTGTTTGTGTAATTTATTTGAATTGCTCTATCTAGGCGTATAATAATCAAAGGGCTGTCAATTATTTGCAGCAACAATACGCTATTTTGAAGTGTAACTGCGTAACGGAAATACGTCACGGACGTCACAAGACCATATATATATATATATGTACACTTATATGAGTGATGCGTGCGCTGCTCCATTCCCCTATGCCTTATGGCCTATTGTTAGGTTATTTAATAAAAGAAGTTTCACTATATTTATTTATTTTCTAAGAAAACCAACACCGTTTTTCCGATACAAAATTTACAGTAGATACATTTCTAAAAGTATGGCCAATGACAGGTTTTCTTTAACTAAATAAAATGTAATATTTACACATATACATAATTATACTAAGTATGTAAGACTAATAAGGTATAATGAATACTTTTTTCTGTTCCGTTTATTTATCTAATGTTTTTCATATATACCTATATAAGATACTTTTAAGTATTTAGATGTGTGGTCCATGCACCCCTTTTTTTTACAAAAAAGGTACAAAAGATCCGGTTACAAATCCCCTACATTAACAAAAGTGAATAGGTAATCTCATGTGTTATATTTTTTTACAGAGCAGCAGAGAGACTGCGCTGTATATCCTGGACTGCGTGTTCTCGGTGGCCGTGGTCGGTTCCCTGGTGGTCTTCGTGTGGAGAGGCTCCTGGGCCTTGCTGGACATCTTCCTCTTCCCGGATGACCAAGTCAAGTCCTATTGGATTTCATTGGTGAGTACACAAGATGTATCATATCATTTCATATTATTCACATACAGCATTTTCCTATTATTATTGTTTCTGATTTTTCGCGGATATAACATGTTTATGTAATATTTGTTTCTTAGGTTTTCACGTACATCACTCATTAAATAAAACAAGTTTCAATGGTATACATGCACTGATTTTATTTATTTACTAGCTGACCCAGCGAACTTCGTACCGCCATAAAAATACGGGGCAGGTGGTATAAGACAAAATTAAGAGTTGTATTTTTTTTAATAGGGGTGTGTAACGTAGTATTCTAGTTCCTGGGATAACATTCCTCCTAACCCATATGAGAACACTACTTTACAATGCCCAATAGTTTGAATTTTGGCGCGAAGGCGCATTGTAGGTTTCAGAACACTGCGTTACAGATGGACAACCATTATCACTTAAGGATATGAAAAATAGATACGAGTAGTAGCCGATTCTCAGACCCACGGAATATGCATATAAAATTACATAAAAATCGGTCAGGCCGTTTCGGAGGAGTATGGTTACTAACATTATGACACGAGAATTTTATATATAAGATTTGCAGGTTGCGTCGTCTGCATAATGATTTTATTTACTTAGTCAAGCTACCTTTGAAAGACTAGTATTGAGCGATCGGATATTTCATTGGAAGATTTTTAAAACATTATTGTCTATGTTTGAATTTATAAGCTAAATAAATAATAATAATAAATATTACCAACACTCACACCAATTATCCTAGCCCAAAGTAAGCACTGTAAGGCTTGTGTTATGGGATGCTAGGGTAACGGATAGAATACATATACAGTACATATATAAGTATATTTATATAGAAATACATATTAAACATCCATGACTGGAGTACAAATGCTCGTGTTCATCACACAAACATCTGCCCCCACCGTGATTTGAACCCGGTACCTTTCCAGTCGGCAACACCATGAAACCCGGCGTACAAACCACTCGGTCACGGAGGTCATCAAATAAAAATAATAAAGTACTTTATTTAATTCTTTTTTATAAAATTGAGTTTATATATTTGACCCCAACTACTGTAAACTACCACCGGTTGTAAAATTGGGAGACCTTTCTGCGAAGAACTGATGAAACAAACTCAAGAGAGGCTTTCTATCTTCTTCTTATGTTAAATCATGCAAACAAAAAGAACTAATAGTATCTGTTGGTCTTGCAGTGTGTGTTTGGGGTTGGGGTTTTATGTGTTGTATACTGGGTTCCCTCCCAAGCTGTAAAGGATGCGAAACGTCATTAAATAAATAAAATCAGTACATCTATTCCGTTAAAACCTGTTTTTTTTAATGTTTTGTCAGTTTTCTATAGATAACAGCCAATGCATTCAGTAAGAACAAACTCACCTTTAACCGCAGAATCCGCGGTGAGGTTGAAATTCGTATTCTAATTTTTTTTTTACAACACACCAATTAGCCTAGCGAAGCACTATTAGGCTTGTGTTATGGGATACTAGGGTAACGGATATAATACATATACTGTACATAAAATACATATTAAACATCCATGACTGGAGTACAAATGCTCGCATTCATCACACAAATATCTGCCCCAACCGGGATTCGAACCCGGGACCTCTCGAGTCGGCGACACCATGATACCCGGCGTACAAACCACTCGGCCAAGGAGGTTGTCAAATTCCAAATCACACGCGGATTCTGCGGTCTAAAGTGAGTTGGTGCTCACAGAAAAGCACGGCTAATCAATTTACTCAAGCGAAGTCGTGCGCACAAATTAGTTTACTTACAAAGAACTTATACTGGCATCAAATTTGACTTTCATAAGTGTGCAAATTGTACCTCATGAATAAAAAAATTTTGACTTTGACTTTGACTGGAAAATTCATAGTTCTCATGATTTTGGTAAACAGCACGGGGTAGGGTCCTATCTAATAGAAACAATTTAAAATAGTTGAAATTTGTGTTATTATGTTTAGGAAAACAGAAGCCTAGACTTTCTAAAACAACAATACCATCTCTCTCAAAAGAAAATATTATACGTATCTAATTTTCTGCTCTTTAATTTCTCAGCATATGATTATACTTATGTCGCACAAAAGAAATGAGCTGTTGTAAATATTTTTAATCGTGTCATAATTTATACTTATCATAATTATAAAAAGACCCAAATACTAAAGAGTATTTACATAGTGTTTTAACGAAGATCGTGGAAAAGAATCTGCGGTAAATATAAATAAACAAATCAAATGTTTATTCAGCATTATGATTGTGATCGTTTAATAAACTTTGTGTCATTAATTTACACAACCTCTTACAAAACCGGTAAAACTGTTAAGTAGACACTACTTTTGTATAATTTACTTTTTATAAATGGCTGTAGTTATGCGCACAGCTTGATTAAACATTTTCTGAGGAATTTCAGGTTTACTTCAACTTTTCATAAGTGGTACCTAGATCATATATTATTTCGGCACTGAAATTAAATAATACCTAGATCACATATTATTTCGGCACTGAAATTAAATAATTACCTACATTCCTGCTTTAGGGTTCCGTAGCCAAATGGCAAAAATCGGAACCCTTATGGATTCGTCATGTCTGTCTGTCCGGCCATATGTCACAGCTACTTTTTACCGAAACTATAAGAACTATAGGTTGCCTGGAAGAGATTGCTGTTTAGCAATAAGGCCGCCTATTGTACTCTTTCTTCTGTTTTATTTGTTTATGTCTTGTGTCCTTTGTTGTGTGCAATAAAGAATATTTATTATTATTATTATAACTATACTGTTGGAACTTATCAAGAAGATTTTCACACAAAAATAGAAAAAAGAAACATTAAATTTTGGGGGTACCTCATACTTACAACTGAAACTCAAAAAAATGTTTTTCATCAAACCCATACGAGTAGCATATTTATCTATGGATAGGTCTTCAAAAATGATTTGTCTTTATTTTCTAAACTGAATAGTTTGCGCGAGAGACACTTACAATGTGGTAAAATATGTCGTAGTCCCCCCCGTAACTTCTAAAATAAGAGAATGATAAATTAAAAAAAATATATATGAAGTACATTACCTTGCAAACTTCCGCCAAAAATTGGTTTGAACGAGATTTAGTAAGTAGTTTTTTTTTATACTTAAATCGTCAACTACAATTTACGTTTCATTCAATCAACTCAAATGTAAAAATTAAAAAAAAACCCCTTTTTAATTTCATAAACAAACCGTTTTTTAATAATAAATCTGTAATAGGTGCCTAAGTAAATTATAATTTGCGCGTATTAAAACATCGATCTAAGTAACAACGAACTACAAGAACTTTTATATTATGTTACTTGCTGCTACGGAACCCTTTATGGGCGAGTCCAACTCGCACTTGGTCGCTTTTTTATTTACAATTGTTTTAGGTTACTTGACTTATTTCTTTACATACGTCTTTTCTGTTATCTCTGTCTGGTAGTGATATGTATATGTGTTAAAACGTAAATCTGTATCATCTTGACTTGATTTTTATACATATTTAATTTTCGGACGAAACGATATTTTTAACATTATACGGACTTGCTCGGCTTGAGCGCCCCGCGGCCTTCTTTAGTATTCGTACGGTTTAATGTAGAAACCAATAGATAATGGTGTTATATAAATAGTTATTCATGCAACTGTTGTACTATGAGGGGTATTAAAACACGAATGTGTGATAATATGTAGTGTCACATGAGCTTTTAATACCTTATTATAACAAGACTTTATCTACACCCATGATATGAATCCTCTATAAAACACACTGAAAATATAAAATTCATGAAGAGTTTCGGTGCTGTGGTAGTGAAACTCGCGTAAATGACATTGTTCTTTTTTTGAAATTCATAATACCACGCATCGAGCAGTGAAAATTGTGGCTGTCTGATGAGTAATAGGTACCTTAGCGAGAAAGGGATTTAAAAGCAAAGTTTAAAAAGCGAAGGAGTGTTATTATGAAATTCATAACATTGGATGTTTTAATGTGGCAATAAGCTAACTGTTTCAGAATAATTAATAGAGGTTTGAAAGCAAGATAAAATTAGATAAAGGTAAATAATGTTATACTAGTAAAAAAAAATATTATTGCCAATTTCTATGGCCACAAATCAATATTTATACCTAATTCCAACATTTTTGAACAGATTTTTGATTAGTTTTAATAGAACAATCATTTATCTGGTAGATTTTTAGTTTTTATTTAGTTGAAAAAAATCAACATCCTCAAACATTTGGGTGTTAGCTTGAAATTAACACTAAAGTGTATATTGCACTACTCGGGTTGACTTTGGAATGATATTGTTTGAATTTGGTCACAATGAGAAATCAATGATACACCAAAGGCATATGAAAGTTATTGCAGGAAAAAAGACGAAGGCAAAATCTTTCTTATTTTCATAACGTTTGAGATGTTGACTTAACGTTTATTTTTAGACTGTGTCAAATTAAAATCCCCTCTTTTTGAGAACATTCTCCATCACTGCATAAGAACATTCAAAAACACAAAAGTTACCTAGAAGGGGTCTGTATACATACGAGTATACTATAATCAACTCACTTAATTCCACACGGGACAGCTCAATAATACGGTCCACAGAGAGGCTGACTATGTCCTTACTATCCTTAGTCTTTATGACGACCTCCATGGCCGAGTGGTTTGTATGCCGGGTTTCATGGTGTCGCCGACTCGAGAGGTCCCGGGTTCGAATCCCGGTGGGGGCAGATGTTTGTGTGATGAACATGAGCATTTGTACTCCAGTCATGGATGTTTAATATTTTTCTATATAAATATACTTATATATATGTGTTATATCCGTTACCCTAGCATCCCATAACACAAGCCTTATTAGCTTACTTTGGGGCTAGGCTAATTGATGTGTGTTGGAAATATTTATTTATTTATTTATATTCTTATTTTCATAAATTAATGCCTTTTAAATTACGAGCCAGTCCCACACGCCCCCTCCACACACGCACACTAACACAC